CCCCCCCTCTACCCGCTCTCACACAAACATCCCAAAGCACCACGCTTGGCCCCCCGACACCACCTTGTAAGGCGGTGTCCGTTGGGATAGACAGACCATCACGGGACGGCGGGAAAAACCGTACCACTTCGTACAACAACAACAGCACACAGCACACAACGGCCGACGACAGAAAAACAAAAACAGTGAAAACGGACAGGTGCAATCTGCTTTCTCGCTTCTTTAGTCAGCCTTCTTCTCGTACCTCCGGCGCCAGCCAGCAAGTCGTCCCGACCCCGTGGGTCATGCTGCGCACCCCGGTGTAGAGCGCCAACGCCCGAGCTGACCCCCAGTCGCCGATCTTGGGCTGGAGCTGCCCGCTGCAGCAGAGAGATCGCAACACGTTCGGGGGAGAGAGAGAGGTACGGAGGGTGCGTGTGTGCAGTGCCAACCTACAAGTGAAACGAGGGGGGGAACGGTAGGTGTGCGCACAAAAGTTCGCGAGGGGATAGGATGGAGGTGTGTGCGCAAAAAAAATGCCTTGCGAGACATGACATGCCATGGCATCAGCGCGGACAGGCTGGATACAGCCGAAAAGTTGCGAGGTACAGCTGCAGCATACCTGCATACCAAATCACATCCTTGTTCTGCCCCTGAGCAAATTAATTACCATATAATACGAATAGAACTTGGGGGTCGACCAGCGTTAGTGTCAGTGTCAAGTGTAGTGTTCGTCTCAGCACCATCACCAGGCTAGGTACCACGTGGAAAGAACGCGGAGACGGCACTCCAAGACGACCACAACCTGTTGGGACGCGGGCAGCTCCGTCAGAGAGCGAAAGAGAAAGAAGGCTGAGTCAAATGAAGACCGGACCCGAGGCCATACCGTATGGAGTATTGAGCAACGAGTCACAGCAGGATACAGCACCCCCTGGGGGGGGGGGGGGGGGGGGGGGGGTGTACTCATAGTCGNGGGGGGGGGGCGTATCATAAACCTGAAGACTCCCCCTAGATGAGTATCGGGTGCCGAATACACCAATCAACCAAGGACCCGACAAACAACGCTTCCTTTGTTTGTTTGTTTGTTTGTTTGCTTGTTTGTTTCTCACTCTCGGTCCTCCATTTGTTTGCTTGTTTGTTTCTCACTCTCGGTCCTCCATTTGTTTGTTTGTTTGTTTGCTTGTTTGTTTGTTTCTCACTCTCGGTCCTCCATCATGAAGATGTTGTGACTCTTCAGGTCGCGGTGGATCACCGGTTCCTCTCGGCTGTGCAGGTACAACATCCCCTCAGCGACGTCCACCGCCACCCGCAGCCTAGCCCTAGGGGTTAGCGACGTCCCCCTGTCGTCGAGCACCTGCCTCAGACTGCCTCGGGGGCAGAGCTCGCTCACGATCCAGATGGCCTGCAGCAGCAGCAACAACAGCCGACCAAGGGATTGGCTAAACAAGCTCGACTCGCTGTCGTGTGGTGGTGGAAAAGCGCTTGCTATCCCTGTTGTGCCATTGTCAACGTTATGGCCGTTGGTGTTGGTGATTGATGGTGGTGCTGATGCTACTTTTCCCCCTCTCACGAGGTGTTGGCCCATCCCAAACAAACCGGCCACACAAAAAAGAAAATCACGATCACACGTGTGTATCGACGGAAAGAGTGCGCCAGTCCGTGCGTTTATCTCAAAGCAGGCACAAGCGAAATAAAAAATGTCTCAAGTCTCAAGCCCAACCAACAAACCCCGGGGAGACGTGAGGATAACGCCCCCCCCGATACCTACCGCCGTCGCCCCTTTCACAAGTGGCCACCGTCTGACAAGATCAACCGCGCTATCAAATCCAACTCGCTCGAGAAATTAGCAAGCACTCACAGGGGCTGACAGCTCGAGGGGGGTGCTGGGAGGCGCTCAACACGTTTCGGCAGAAACACCCGGCCAACTCTAGGGCATTCCTACCATTTTCCCGCCAAACCAACAAACGCTTCCAATTTGACACCCTGGCGAAATCAAAACCTCACCTGAGATGTCAGCGAGCACCCGTACAGATGAAGGATCCGAGGGTGCTGTAGGACGCTCATGATGGCGGCCTCCCCCACGATCTCTTCGATCAGCTCGTTACGCTGAAAGGACCCCCCAGAAATTGCCGCCTGAGCGAACACGAACTCCTTCACCGCCACCTGCGGTCAAGGGGGGGGGATCGGGAAATGGCTGTTGTTCGTTGGAGAGAAGTGCGACGAGGGGGAGCAAGCACCGACACTTCACTTCGGTGGAGGACGGTACACGACAATGACTGCTCTTGTCAATGCTGTTGCTTTTGTTGTTGTTGTTGTTGTTGTTGTTGTTGTCGTCGGCTTAACATTGAAAACGTGTTGTTTGTTTCTGTTCGTTCGTAACCGATGCCACCACGAAAGAAACAAGCGCGAGCAACAAACGTCTTGTTCTTCACAGCTTTCGCCCAAGGACAAAATAATCGAGACGAAAAAATGCTCTGACCGATCGATTAAAAAAAAAAAAAACATGTGAAGAAAAAATGTTCAACTCACGCTGCTGCTTCGCCAGTGACCGCTCCAAACCCGGCCGAAGCTTCCCTCACCGATGATCTTGTGCAGCATGATTTCCTTGGGGTTGATGATGTTCAGGTTGTGCCCCTTCATGAGGTGCCGCGCCTGCATTGCCCTGTCGAACCTCAGGCGGAACTCGGCGTCGGCGCCGGCCATTAGGCCGTGTGGTCCGGCCAGGGTGGTGAGGGAGATACCATTTCGACCCTGCGTTTTTTTTATTGGGGGAGGGAGGTCGAAAAACCACGCATGATTCACAATTATATACCGCGGGGAGGCTGGATGTGAAACGGGAGATGATAAAAGGAGCGTGGCTTTTTTGCCCTGCTCGACGTGCAAAGCACTCGAGCATTGCATTAGTGTGTAGAAGTGCTTCCAATGCATAGCATATCCACGTTTCTTTGTTGTTAAGAAGTTGTGAACTTGAGGCTCCACAATTTCGTTGTCGGCAGACATGCGTACCACGCACTGAATAGGCCCCGGTACACAAGCAAACACCACCGAGAGTCCTCTCATGACTTGCTGGCTCTTGTGGACCAATCCATCTCTGGCTCGCCGTCGCCAGAACTGCTTTGAAAGGAAACATACAACAACGAGCTCGCTCACCTCCACAATGTGCTTGAGCCACGGCAGGTTCATGAACTCCTGCTGGTGGCAAACGAACGCCATGCCCGCACCGAGGCACACCCCAAGGGCCATGCACGCCAGCACCATCGCCATCAGCAGCGCGTGATTATCCTAGCAAGAACACACACACAGGAAAAAGAAATAAAAAAAACGCTTGCTTAAGGTACAGTACCTAAGCAGGCATAATGAATAGGTTCGACAGAGGTGGAGGATTCCGGAACATGGAGGAGTGGAGCGGCGAGAGCCCGGGGTGGGGGGGTTCGTTCTCACGCATTCCACGAGCCCTCTTCCTCCTCCTCCTCCTCTTCCTCCTCCGCAAGGAAAGTTTTGAACAAACCGCCAGTTGGACGATAAAGTCCGGTTGGTGAAGGGCGGGGGGGGGGGGATACTCATAGTCGTGCATGCCGTTTTCGTTTGACCATTGACC